GATCCAGCCTTCTGCTGCTAATGTAACCTCACTGTTTGAACTGAATGGGCAAGCACTAATACCTCTCTTAAACGCTAACCAACATCTTTCTTTCAGTCCCAGACTGAAACGGGCAGAGCAAGCAACAGACTCTTCCATGCTAATCACATATTATAAATAGCTACAAAATAAGACTGCTAAGGAAAATGCATGTGTTTTTTCTTATCTTTGGTTTGTTCATTCTCTGAGCACACCTTTTCTCCAGGTGATACATGTGGTTTAAGCTTAGAAAACATTTGATGTCAGCCTGGGAAACTACAGGGCTATAAACATGACTTCACTTCTCCTGCCTGTTTTTATTGGTAGAAATCATATACAAAGATGTTTTTTTTGGTGTGTTCTGTTATGGTAAGCAGCAGCGAGCTGGGATGCTCAAATCACAGTTCAGAAAGGCTGTCTGTCTGTGTAAAGGCATCAGATGAAGCTTATTGAACTCAGACCCTCTTTTGTAAGAGGTCATGGATTTGTTTGGCTCGGGCCTCTGGCCAGCTTTGATGAGAGCTGCAATATTTTGGTGACCTTGGCCTAGGGGTAATATAGTGGCCCCAGACTCAATGGTGGTTAAACATGAACATAAACAAAGTGGAGATTTGCTTTGTGCCAGACAAGGTTACTTTCAAATGTACCCACAAACTCCTAGAAAATTGATGTCTTTGGTTTACTGCAAATATGTAATGGTATAAAAAGAAACAGTATTCTAGGCAAAGTAATATTTAATGATTACACATACCTTGACCTTGTGATTCCAGTCCGCAGAGCAGATCAGATAGTACCTCTGTAAATATTGGTGAACAGTGAGCGGAAAGATTAGAATGTGTTGCCAGCTTCATTTTTTACAAATTAAAAGGTCTCTGCACTACTTATTTCTGCCCCTCATTTTCATTTTTGTCACTGGAGTCAACTTTATGGGGCAGTAGATCGTGTATAAAATGCATGTACATAACTTTGGATAGAGACACATTTCATTTTTTGTCTTTATGGGGTATTTATTTTGAAGGAAGCTACATGTAAACTATCAGCAGTTCTTAAATGACTGAAGCGTTCAACTGCTGTGTCTTGGAGAACAGATGGTTTTGTCTATGACTACTGAAGGATAGTATCCTACACTTTCTATTTTCAATCCAAAGCCAAAGGAAAATGTTAGCTTACATAAAAGATGGTGGCACGGAAGGGATTGCTTAAATGTTCCTAAGTACTGTTGTCAGTAAATTATACCAAATTGAGCACATCAGACGGAGGAGTACAAGAGGCTTCTGTAACGGTGCGGACAAAGAGACGTATAACCTGCTTAGTAGTCAACTCTAAGTCAGCTTTATTCCTTGGTCTAAGTCTAAGCTGAACCTAGGGCTCTAACCTTTCAAGAAAGGTCTGGTCTACTTCTCTCTGTCCCTGTGTGCCAGGGATAGCTGAGAAGCATGTTCCAGAACTACTATGATGTTTACCAACTGGGTTTCCTTTTTAAATATTTTGGTTAAATTTCACGAGACTTATGAAGATTCCCTTTGGGACTAAAGTTGAACACTAAACTTAAAAGGTGGGTTTTAGGCTAAGAAGTGGTAACAACTTGAAAGTTGCTGACAGTTTCCTATGCATCCGCCATAGGAAAAAAGACCTTTTTGAGAGCAACTCTCCCAAATAATAATGAAAAGCTATGAAACTGTCAATGCAACCCCTGAACATCAAACCAGTTTTGAAATGGTAATATGTTCACTGTAACAGGTAATGGGAACATGACATCTGGACTTCTTCAGGATGAGTCGCACACTTTTCCTCCTTTCTAATTCTGCAGAGACTTGGCACCTCTGTGTGATGAAATCCAAATGCTGGCTGTGGTTACAGGGCTGAGCAAAACACAGAGCAGATGAAGAGATACAGGTCAGTATGTGCATCTTCAGCTGTTTGCCAGAATGACACGGATCCAGAGGAATGTTTGAACATCATCCAGAAATTATCATTCCCAAATATACATCCACAGAGACAACCCAAGAGAATACACACCTGGTTTTTACTTAACCAATTGCAGAAGAGATACCAGCTAAAGAGTCCAGAAACACTGGAACTTTTTCAGAGAGGTCAACAATGTTCCTAAAATAGCTGAGGATTTAGGGTACAATGGGCTGTATTTTTTATTTTGTTCTGAAAGATACTGCTCTAAGAAAGAGGACAGTACCAAATTACTTCAGCTTTAGCATTTTGGTGATCAGGCACGTTCTTGTTTTTTCCACTTGATTGCTTTTGGTTTTATCTTACATAAGTAATAGACAAATTTGAGAAATGAGTTCTGCAGTGAATATATTCTCTGCAACCAGCAGGTTCTTATCTTAGAAGATGATGCTTATAGATAGAAACTCTCTCTGAAGTTTTCTGATCCATTTCTTGATAGTGCAAGATTGTGTCCTGCATATTGACTGCTGACCCCCTTCGCTGCTAAACATTTTCTTTGTTTTTTCATGGCTTCCAGTTTGTCTACATTTCTGCAGAGCTGACTGAAGTGTCCTGGGAGTGACAACTTGGTTTTAAAAATATATTTAAATAAATAAAAGTACAATCTTTTTTAAATTAAATCTATTGGTTATTTGCAGTGTTGTAGCTTGTGGCACCTCATTGTTCTTATCACTCCATAGCAAAATGAGAGGCCATGCTCTAAGGAACTTATTGCTTCTGTGAGGAATCTCCTGAAAAATAAAAAAAAACAAAGAAAAACCAGAAACTTATTCTACAGCCAAAAATAACCACTCCTAAAATTAGGTTGGTACCTGGCAACATTCAACAGGTACAATACTTGTCTCTCTGCTTGCCTAGTTTTCCATGCTCTCACTGCAATCATTACTGATTGTGTTTTCTATGGATTCATTCTGTAATTGTAAGTATAGCTGGGCTTTACTCCACAGTCTGGCTGAACTGACCTCTGCTGTGGCTTTGTTTCATTTTGGGAGCCTCCATTTATTTTCAGTCAAGATCACAGTAGCTGGCAGCTTCTTGTTACAACCAGTTGCTGATGAATGCTGCACTGGAGGCACTACGTGTACGGCAGCATGCAGACTCTTTCCAGACCGAGGCTGCAGACAGCAGTTGAGAGCGAGCTGTGGTCTTGTGCTTGGAAATTTGGAAACATGGAAACTCCAGGAAAGATGCAACCAAGGAAAGAGCAGCAGCCAGCTTGTCCCTGCAAGACCCCTGGAGAGCAGGGATGGCTGCTTCTCTTGCTGACGGGGAGGGAAATAACAGCTGCTGTTATGGGATGGGCCATCTCACCGGGCCCAGCAATAGCTGCCTCCTTAAGAGGCTTCAGACCTTCCTGTGGCATCACCAGCAGTAGCCCTGGTGCTGGTCTGCCACCTGGCCTGGTGGCTGAGAGCCAAGACAGGCAGTGGGGCTGCAGCTTCTTCACCAACCTGGGAGGTGTTTCCGGCAAGCCCTAGTGTGTGACTGTAACTGAGGATGGCAGAGGGTGCCTGGGAGGTCCAGCCCATGCCAAGTGGAAGAGTCTTCAGTCTCCCTCTGACAGCCGTGTTCACATGTGAAAATGGTAATGTGGCAATTTGAGGAGGAATGAGTGTGGAACAGACTGTAAATGAAAGCAAAAATCTAGCTTAAAATGCCTTTAAAAGAAAGTATCAATAAATAACCAATATAATGGAAAAGACGAACAGAGGTAAGACCCTTTTCAAGAACAAATGCTGGATTATTTCTTCTGTCACTGAAATCACTTATATGTATGTGGATAAAGATCATAGTTTCCAGCAGCTGAAAGCCTGTGATCCAAAGGGCCACTGCAGAAAGAAAACCCTTGGGTGATGTTCCCAAGGAGTTAGTTTTTGTGCAGCAAATGTATCTAGAGAAAGGATCTTTGACGCTACAAGTGTAGGAATTGTGCAGGCTGCATAGACAGCATACCTTTTCAAGAGTTTAAAGGTTGCTGTTGCACAGTTCATGTTCTCTGTAGTTGCTTCCTCTAGTGGAAACAGTGAGGTGGGCATTTGCACCCATGTAACACTGCTATTTCAGCACTAAGTTGGAAAAGGCACAAGAGAATACTGAGAAGCAAAGCTGCAATTTTCTCTGGCATTTTTCTCTCTGCCTTCATTGCATATCTGGGAGAGGTAAAGAAGGTATGATGTATTTGTATTGAAAACAGTTTTGGAGAAATTGGAGTCTTTCAACTGTAAATGTTGAAGGTAGAAATGATTATTTACATTTTTGGTCATTTGCAGATGCAGGGCTCTATCTGCTTTCAGTTCTAAAGCTGCTTCAGCCCTCAGTTCATTTGGTTCATTTTGTTCAGCCTTCAGCAATGTGGCTCCCAGATGTATTTTCCGGTATTTCATTTATAACTGTAAGGAATCTACAGCATCCAGTCACCCCGTGTCTGTCTTTTTTTCCTGGCATTGAAGTTCTTTGAACAGGACATTCCTATTAACATCAACAGTCAAAAATGAAATAAAACTAAAAAAACCTGTCAGGTTTTCATTCTCACCAGACAGATTTTTAAGGTAGAACTTCAACAAGCGCTCTTGTAGAAATATTTGCTAGTAAGGCTTTGTTTTTTGTATGCCAGTATGCTAGAGCAGTTTTCAGCTGACAACTTATGTTCATCTGTAGTGAGTCTTTTAAGACTTCAGCTTTGTGAGTGTAATAGTGTTGTGGCTATAGTTTTGGCATATAAGTAAGTGATTTATTTTGTTACATCGACTTGTATAGTTGAGAAAAAAAAGAGCTGGAGAAGGGCTTGTGTGCCTGAAAGCTTGTCTGCTTTCTCCAACTATATAGACTTCCCACAAATCTTGCCTTCCCTTGCAAGGCAATTTTTTTGTCTGAGTCATTTTGAAAGGGTGTCACTATGTCTGACTTCAAAGCGTCTGGTAAATCTAGAGTAGAACGGCAATGAATCTGAAAAATTAGATCATACATCTCATACAGCAATAGGCAAAATTAAAAAGGGAGGTTGACTAGAGGATCAGAAAAATAAAGCTCAACTAGGATTGCTGGAGTTTGATTTACTTTCTTTTTTCAGTTGATTTTATTTCACATTATCTTCCTATACCTACTACCACAATGAGAAAATAGCTTCAGTACACTTTGGTTTTGCAGATTTTACCTCTGCAAACTCAACAACTGGTTCTTCAAAGAGGTGTATGAACTTTGGAGCAAGCAGCTGGTCTGATCTTCCTTGCACATTGATTTATACTCCAAAGCATAGGGTATAATATCTCTTCCAAAAGTTTCTTATTAATGATGATGTCCCATTATATGAATCTTGTTTAGGCCTCATCCTCCTCAATTCTTGTGACAATGTGTTCCTTATTTTAATCCTGTGCTTTAGAAAAAAGTACTGTCTTTAATTTCTTTGAATATTTAGCCGTATTGCATTTCACTGACATGAGTCAAATGCAGAGTGAAGAGATGCCCTGATCTAGCTTTTTTAGAATATGCAATATTTTATGAAATTCTGTCAAATCCCAGACTACCTGTCACCTTTTTAATATTAGCAATTCCAGTCTTTATAAACTTGCTTAATATGAGAAGCTCTCCTGGGCTGCTCCTACCTCTGCCCTGCAATACCCTAGATGAGGTGCTTATTCTGTATTCCTCCCCTTCCTTGTGAAGCCTAATATTTACTTTGCTTTTGGCTCCCATTTAATATGGAAGTTTTCTCCAAGCTCTCTCCAGTGTCTCGCAATCTGCCTGCTCAAAAGGAAACGCTTGTTGTTAGGACCCTGTCAGCTGTAAGACTAGCTTACATTTTCCCTTTCAAAACGGTGCTTTTCCAGTTTTACATTTGGTTTTACCGCTATGTTGCTGGCGTGCCTGAACTCATGCTCTGCTCTGGTTTGGACCAAGCCCTAAACAACCATATCGTCTGTTAGCATTAACTACTTCCTCCCCTTCCACCTTTTTACAGATATTACAATATATTTATTAAGTAGTGTAGCATTTCAAGGCTCTTGCTCATGCCCGCTGCATAAAGAATTCATCATTTAATCCTATCCTTTATTTTTTAGCTTGTTTCTGATCTAGTAGCAATCCTTTGCCTTTCTCCTGCCCATGAGCACTTAACTTTTGTACGTCTTCTCGAAAAGACCTTACAGGCTGTGTCTCTACAATGTGTCAAGGCAGGACCACAGGAAGCTTCAGGAAAATAACTTTTTAGGCCCACCAGTATGATCATATGAACTGTTATCTTCAAAAGGACTAGAAATCCAAAAGATGTAGTTCCAGATTTTCCCAGCAGTCAGCTGAAAAACATGTACAAAAGCTGACCAAAGAAAATCTGTCAAAAATTCAGTTTATGATGAAGTAACAATACGGCGCAAAGCATTGCATTTCTGTAGGAAATAATGAACCCCAAATACTAAAACCTTTTCAGGAACCTTTTTAGCCTGCAGCCAGCTTTGAGCAGTCACAGCCTAGTGTCCCTCCTTTCGTAATTCCTTTTTCTGTTTTGTTCTATCTTTACTGTTAACACAGGCACATTTCAAACTCAGATTCCTCTCTTCTCCATTATTATTTCCATATTCAAATATTTATAAAATTTTGATTTTTTTTTTTTAATTGGGATGTATCATGGCAGAGTCTCATGAGGTTTCTCGCTGTGTAGCCTCAAATCAGTATTCTACCATATGGGTAACGAAATCAGTCTGACTTGATTGACTTTGAGGCAAATTAGCAGCCATTCTGAATCTGAATATTTTTGTTTTTATAATGTGTGTTGCTATTATTTGTGTGTGTGTGTGTGTGTGTGTGTGTGAAAAGGCTGAACTTTCTGTAGTGAGGAGAGGAAGAGAGAGGGGGTTTCGTGTTTGTTTTTTTGATCAGCTTCTAGTTAAGCTTTCAAGTGCTGCTCAAATCTAATGTACTCTCCAAGGCCTTTTTTCAGTGTATTATAATCTCTAATCATCTGTACTACAGTTTTCACTGAAGTGTTAAAACTGTTTTACTACCACTTTGCTGGCAAGAATATTCAGAGAGTCCTTTAAAGAATGAAACTTTTCATGAACTACAAATCCAAGACATTTGTGAAGCTTTTACAAAAACTTGGCGTTTAAATGAATGTGTTAAGTCCAAGAGTAATTTTCAGGTCTGCAGTATATAAAATTGGTCCTCTAGTTCCTTGTAAGTATCAGCACAGAAATAGGACTGTGAAAAGTCAATTGTCTGTATCATAATTAGGAGAAGGAAATAATTTGGTATTAGGTACCAGAAAACAGGGTTGCAGGGGAGAAAACGTCCCCACACTTCTATTTTTCCTCCAAAATTATATATAAAATTGAACACTGGTGTCTCTTACATTTATGAACATTATTTTTTTAATAAAGATATCTACTCTAGAACAAAAATTACCTTAATTCAGGGCAAAGGTGAATCTGTATAGAACAAAGCATGTCACTTTACCTGTTTTATATACCAGAATGTTCAAGCTCAAGTTTTGCAGAAAACAAAAGAAGAGGACAATGAGGCACAAAATTTTCCTAAGTGAAATGGTGCCAAATGATCACAGCTTTTTTTTGCCCCCATTTTCTCATAAGGAAACCTGGTAGAATCAGACTTAAAGAAAAAAATACAAAGCAATATATGTATGTATAATATATATTTTAAATTGGCCTTAATTTTCAGGTTAGATTCTGATCTGGAGCTTCTGATGTATTTCAGCTCATTTCCTTCTCCCTCCTCAACCCTTCTTTTAAACGTGAAAAATGGAGATGGAGCCCATTTCTGATTTTGCTTAGCTGTGGCAGCTCTTGAATAATGTAACACCAGCCAGTGAAAATGAGTATATATGAGATCAGAATCAAGGCCTGTTTTTGTTGGACACTTACCTGGCATGGGATGAAGGCATGTAAACACTGCTGTCACTCTAACTTTGGGTGCAGCAAGCAGTTTTATCTTAGTGAACGTACATACATATCAGCTAGGCCTTTGCTTTTCAAATCCCATGAATATCACTCAATCTGTGAGACTGTGTAAATGCCACTGAAATCTCACTCTTGACATTTGATCAATGCCAGTTAAGAGATCTAAAGCCATTCTCCACTGAGGCTTTTGTGAGAATTAGATTTTTTTTTCTCAATGTGCATCCAGTGAAGTCAATGCTAAAATTACAGTAACTCTCCAGGGTTGCTATAAGTTACCCTGGGTGCTTATGAATTAGTTGTGCTGTCTGAATTTGGCAGATGTGAAGAATTTGCCAGTTAATGGTTTTAGGATTTCATTGTGAGATTGTTTCTAAATCTTGTACTGTATGCACATGCCCTGACAATAAATCATTGTAAGAATATCAAACACCTCCCATGTGCCCATGGTTTATTTTCTCCTAACACTTCCAAGTAAAGGGAACACTTATGTGATTATATTCGGTGATTTAATGGTGGCAAAAGAGGAGTTCATTGAATCTGCCCTTGCATAAGAATCTGTGCAGAACTAAAAGCTGAGTCCAGTTCCCTGCATCCCAGCTTGGGATTTTAATCACAAGATCAGTGTGCTTCTCTGCAGGTATTTTCCCTGCTTTGTGCCCATAGTGGGATTAATCAGAGAATTTGAATATTGTAGTTATCTAAGACAAGGTCACTGGAAAAAATTTTTTTTCCCCTTCATCTTGTATGGTGGAGGTAGCTTCATGATTCTGAGACTGCCATATAGATGCTAATATACAGCTTGACATGCTTCAATTTAGCGATCTGCACACCTGTGTACTTGACAACCATCAAAGAGAGTAAATGACTCTTTGTAGTTTTACTTTGATACTCTCCCATGGATGAAGGGTGTGAGAGAAGCCACCATACGTATGTGACAGTAAAGAATGAAGCAGCTTCTTTCCTCAACATTGAAATGTGGGAAATTGTGGTCATTTAAGGACATTTTAATCCCTTGCTGTTAATATTGTCCTAGACCAAAAGGATGAAAGATCTCTTGTCTTTCCTAGAGGCCATAAGCTAGACCTCCAAAGAAGAAATTTATCTTTGGAAGCAATAATAGTATTTTAGATATTGATAGCAACTTTCATCTGAAAGGTGTCTTGTGCTTTGCAAACACTTATCTTAGAATGCCTCTTTTAAAAAGAGGCATTAAATTTAATAAGATTTCAAAAGAGCAGTAGCAATTTAACCTGTGGTGCAGTAGCATCACAGCAATGGAGAGACAGATAAGCTCTTACTTCTAAGAAAAGCATAGCAGAATATTTATCAGTGTTACAAAATAGGGTTGAGTACTTCAGACTAGTGGTATTAACCACTTCAGAAAGGTGAATATTGACAGGTGTTTTTTCAGTTTTCCTCATCTCTGCTGTAGCTGTCTCTCTCTTAAAACAGAATATTAGAATTGTCAGCTGTAAACATGTCATGAGCATATCATGACACTTTATTACATGTAACATTTCACAGCACGAGCACAACTTAACATATCACGTGACGATCTGGTGAGACAGCACTAGCAGGTTTACCTCATTTTTTGCATCCTAATTTCTCTTGCTACTGAAGATTTTTTCAACAACCTGAAACAGCAGATTGTTTATGTGAAATATATATCCCAGATTTTTGGACTCTTCTTAACCACACATCTCTGTCTGGCTGCATCATTTGGAGATTTTAACTGGGGCAACTTTCTGCGGGGTGAAACGCCTATTAGTTCAAGTGGGTGATAGCCAGAATGAATATATCCAACTAACAGGGCAGAAGTTAGCATGTACGCATGCAAGGGCAAAGACATTTCTAATTATTATACATCTGCAAACCTAAAGAGCTAGAACACCTATGTTATGTTTTTATATTTATCTAAAGTAATGGCTACGTGATCTTTTGCAAACAGATTTGAGTTTGCTCTGTCCTTATTCTAAGCTGACTGGAAGCCATATAGCAAACTAGCATGGCATTTGGCCTAAACTAATATACCCTGCTTCTCAGCTGAACTTTATTAGCTTGGGCTTGGTGCCCTGCTAACCACAGCTGTGGGCTTTTTGTCAACTTGGAGGACAGGCAGAATAAGCTCACGTCTCTTTATAGGTAGAGCTATAGGGTTTCAATGTTTATGAATAGTAGTAGCTTTAGAAATTTGAATGTTTCTTCTTTTTATCCTTAAAACAAGCAACAGAGGAAGTTGCCTGTCCTTCCATCTACAGCCCCTCTATTGGCAATCCTAGTGTACTTTTCATTCTTTATCATCTCTGTTTTGGCTGTCAGAAAGTTATTCATTGTGCTATTAAGTAGTCCTTTTGCTCTTGAAGCAGTGGTGATTTTTCTACCTCCTGGCTTTTTTTTTTTTTTAAGGAAACAAATGATAACTGTAGAAGATTAGTAATGAGAAGCTGAGGAATGATGTGGAAGTTTGCATGGAAGAAACAGATGTTTCTACCAGGTTTCTTCAAATAAAATGCTTTGATCTAGCAAGTGGCTTGCTTATATGTTTAGCTTGTTGGGAATTTTTCCTGTGAAAACATATTGCTGGTAATTGCCTATTTGTTAAAATCAAACCCAGTATTTAGAAAAAAGATAAAGTGATAGATATGCTGAATATGGTAGGGGGAGAGGGAAGACAGATTCTAGCCTGCTGAGCCCTCAGTAGCTCATAGCCTTATGTAAAATGGTCCATATCTGGGTCTGATTCAATCTAATATGAATGAAGTAGAGTGGAAAATTTCAGCAAAGGTGAGTACTGATCTATTCTAAAGTGACCTTCTGGAATAGGTGCTTCTTTTTTATCACTTTTGCACTGTTCAGCTTTGCATGAGTAAATGATTGGTGGAACAAAGACTAAGTTCATAATCTTTACGAGTAAGGGAGTATGCTGCTTGCTGAACTATTACCTTAAGTGAGTTTTCTACTCCCCTTTCTCACTTTCCACCTCCTGTTTTCAAACCTAGACTCCTACTCCTGTTGCAATTGGTGCTTATCCCTTACTGATAAATTAGTGTTTGACAAACTGGCATTTTTCACAGTAAAAATTGCAATCACTTCTTGGCAATTCTTTCATCCTGTTCAGAATTACTCAAGTATTTTCTCTTCCTAACTAGCTTCCTAACTTTGAACAAGGTGGAGATGTTGAAAGAACAACCCGTTATACTCTTCTTCAGACTGTAGGTAAAACTAGATAGAACAAAGGCATGTGAAAATAGAAATCAGTTAACAAAAGTATTTCTGCATAAAAAGCTTTATTCTAATTTGTTCCTCCATTTTTTGCAGAGGTTTGATTAGTGTGTCATCAATGTATGCAAACTTAACTGTTTACATAAATTGCTATTGTTTTACAGATATGTCTGCAATTGCAAGAAACAGTCTCCAGACAGTCTCCTTATCCCCTCAGTGGTAAGGTCAATGGCTATTAGAGAACGTTATTATTATTTTTTTTACTTACAAAGCCTGCAGACAGAATTTTTTTTGTTTGTTTGTTTTAAACAAAAGCTCTTGTTTTCTGTCTTTGCACTTCCCCAAGAAGTCATGGAATCTCCCTGTCCCATGGTCACGGCAGGATCCAGTCCTGAATCTGGAGATAAGATATGAGTTGTAATCATGGGCTGCATGGAAGTTGAGCACTCTTGTGCACTAGATCGGTTAGACAGAGGAAATGAGAATTTCAGATGGTGCCTGATGCCTCTACCTTAGCACTCTGCATGCTATTGCAAAGGAACTATTCCTATGGCATACCAGAGGGTGGTACAACTAGACTACCCTCTCCTTTGCTATAGAACAGTAGCTATTTCCCTGAATGAGAAGAGATTGACTTGTGAGCAAATATATGCTTTTCAGTACTGGGAGCACCACTTTACTTGGCTTGTATATTGGTCATATTTTTTCTGATAACTGTAGTAGCCCCTAGAATAGGATGACATTTTGAAAATCATGTTTTCTGCCTGTTAAGATGATATAAGGATTTTGCAGTGACAATCTCTGGAATTCCTAACACCTGTTTTTTATAATCCCATGGAGAAAAAGATGAATGTGTTTTATCATTCATGCTTCAGAGGGAGAGAAAGAGGGGCCCGCATAGCAGTGGGGAAAAAGCTTATGCCAAGAGATGGGGAAAATGTTTCCTTTGTCTATAAAGCAAGGAAAACGTATCTTCTAACAATGCAAAGTTCTAATTTCCAGGCAAATCAACACTTACAAAAAAATTGTCCAGAAGAAGCAGACAAGTGGAAACGTTATTTTGTATTTTGACTGTGCTAGATTAAAACTGATGAAAAAGAGGTATTGAAATTCTTCTTCTTTTTTTTTTTTTTTCAATCTAGAGGCAATTTTCTGAATTCTCTATTTTCTACACAGTGATTTGTACGTTATTTGTCCATGGGGTGGATGGGTGGTGGGGAAAGGGAGGGTTCTCTTAATTTTTCTTTCTGTGATTGTTGTTGTTGTTGCCGCCGTTTTTGTAACGGGCCACATAGGCGGGCCACCCGTCTTTTCACCCTTGAAGGAGTTTACCACATTTATCCCATTTCCTGAAGTCACGTAACCCTCTCTTCCACCATTCCACCATAGCAATGCAAGATAATATCACAAAAAAAGAATTTATAATTTTGATTATAGATCAAAAAGGCAGAGGATGGAAGCAGCAAAGTATATCAGAGATTAGCTGATAGCTAGATTCTTAAACATCAATTCAGAGGTGATCCCTCCTTCTGCACTCTTTTTTCCCCTTTCCTAGCTTGGTCATGGTTCCTGGGTAAACCTGAAGGCTGATTTTAGAAAAAGAGAATAAAACTCTAAGATTATTTTAGAAATCCATGAACTTGGAGAGAAATACTCATTAAAGTGTGAGGCTATCAATCTTTTCCCTACTTACAGTGCTGAGACAATAGCAGAGCTGGAATCCTAGCCCTTAGCTTTGTCCTGTAAGCCCTACAATCCTGTCATGTTTCAATACAAGTGAAGTTAATTAAAAGTAAACTAAAAGTAAGAAGAGTTCCATCTTGGTGAAAAATTGCCACATGCAAACTTTGGTTTTCTTTCTTCCCCAGTGGAGTAAAACAGAGACTCAAAACTGCTCCTGGGGGAAAATTGAATTAATTTAAGTGGGGGTCTTGCAAACCCTCAATCAGTTTAAGCTGGGTCTTGAACCCAGGATTTCTTCACTCTAGAGAGGGCCCTGGTAACTCAGCTCGTCTGGATAGCAGAGGGTGGTCTTGCTCCGTCTTCAAGAGTGATAATTTCTGGCTTTTGCTTCTGTGAATGTGTTCCTTTATAGAGGAGCTTTTATTTTTTTCGTTAAGAGATATTTGACCTTTCCTGGAGTCATTATTTGGGACAGTTTAAATTAATAAAGAACCAAGTGCGTGCCAGGCATGCTCAATAGTTTCTTTGTTCTGAAAATAACTGTAAAATGTCTAATAATTGACCAAACCTATATTAGGCACTGTGTTACAGGGTCAGGGTAATGGACATATGTACATGAACTCGGGAGATGTTTTTTCCATTTACCTTCCCCTTTGATCACAGGTGTGTTCTGTCATTCCACTTCAGTAACCAAACAGATTACCGTCTAAAATGAAAAATGGCTTGAAAGTTGATATAAAATACCTAGTGTCCAGGCCAAAATGGAGGGAGAAGGGAGAGAAGTAGTTATAAATTACACTGATTTTTATATTGTGATACTGGCGGCACAATTTCTTACAAAGCAGATAATCTTTCCTCGTAATTCAACTGGCCAATGAGGTGCACAATTTTGGCCAAAAGCAGGAAAACACACTGTAAAGAATGTGTCAAGCTACAGTTTGCCAAATTAAACATCAGCAAAAAGGAAAATATCTGCTATCTTGATGCCTACAGTATGCAGACAGCTGTGTTACCTCTGGGGGTAAAGAACCTAGATTCATGAATAATCCTGAGTTTTCCTTCAAGAAACATTGCAACAACATCATTTCTCACCCTCAAGATTACTGAGCTCTGTTCTGCTGGCAATTTCAAGGAATAATAGTCATCCAGATATTGTGTGGGTCTGCTTCCCTTATTCTCCTGGAGGAGCAGAGGACACTGCTGCAAGCCGTATTAGAGCTCTATTCGGTAGCTCTCCTGTCTTCTATGTGCATTGAAATTGATTTTTTTTTTTTTTTATTTATGCATGTAAGTTCAGGCAAGAAGATCCTAATTCCAGTCATGAATTTGATAGATTTTTTTTTTTCTGTACAACCATACATGAAATAGCAGTTGTAACATTTATTCATAATGAAAGGTGTAAAAGTGGTGAATGGTTGGCTGACTCACCTTAAGGAGATGCGACATCCTGAAATATCTGCTAAAGAGTTATAGCTGACTGTGGGACTGTGTTTTATTGTATACATAGAAATAAAGGTGACAGTCTTATCAAACACTCAGGAAGAGCAGGTACAGAGAAACCTGACTGAACAATCAGAGGTGAGATCTGATATTCTTGATGGGTGTCTTGTTTACTGGAGCCAAATTACTTAGGGTTAGTTTGCATCTTCTGAGTTTTAAAAATCTTCTGGAACTTATGCTCACTGCAGTGGCTTTTTTAATTGAGACTGTAGGCAGTCACTTATTTTGACCTAAGTGAGCATTGCTGGAAGTCTAAGGGAAACTTCTTGAGGCCCAAGGGGGGCCTGAAGAGCTAAAATGCACTGTTTGAGAGTGTTGTAAGATGAAATTTGAAAGCATTACATGCTATTGTTTACATTGCTAACATGTTATTGTTAATGCTTTTCAAAGTGGATTTTGTGAGGTAGAAAAATTTTTAAATTAAAATATGAGATAATAAAGAAATTAAAGCAGTTCCAATATATGAAAAGAGGTCCAAACACTTTCCTATTTGGCTATGTTTTGTGGGTCAGCATTGGTGCCTCAGTTATAATGCGCACTGTAACTCTTAAGGCAAACGTTGGGGATCAGCATGGTTTACTTAGTTGCAAATTGTCAAGCTCTCCCACCTTATAGTACAGGCTTTGCATAGTTGGAGAAACCAGCTAGCTGCAATTCACTGTTTGCAGAAAGCAGTGGTAAATCAACTTTTCAGCAAGACTAGTATATAAATCAATGAACAGTATATTCCTTTGAGACTCTCAAACCTGCACAGGAAAGCCACTCTAAAACCAGATTAACAGGGATCCTGATTTATGGTTGAATCAAACAGCCAAATTCCATTTTCAGAGATCTGAAATACTAGATTTATACGACTTATCTAGGTGACAATCTTATGGCTTTCCACTAGTGCTGTTTACTCATTTCTTGTTGCTATGAAAGAGCTGAAAGCGTGCATTGGAGTGCATATGCTATATATGCTCGTAGGAAGCTACTGCTGTGATATGCAATAAAAGCAGCTACTGGGTATTGTAGAGGTATGCATAGATGCTCTTTTCCTTCCCTTCATCCTTTCAGTGTGGTTTGCATCCCTGTTATCTACGGTAGCCTGTCCTTGAACATTGAGCCTGGGACTCTCACAAAGCAGCAGGTCAGCCAGGCGTTCGGCTGGACTATGGAAACGGTTTCACTGCAGTCAGTAAACTTTACTTCATCTTGTAGATATGGCTGAAAGTACAAGGTATATTGTTATTGCTATGTCACCTGCCTGTCTGGCAGCCATGACTAGCTATTTCTTCTTCCTGTGCTTCCTGCTAATCGATAAGTGGAGAGCTGCATTGGGGCTAAAAGCGGTGCAAACAGCATGGAGGAAAATTAAAAAATACTTCATGAATATACTTACTGAATTAAAATATACTCTATGTCATGGGCTGTCTGTAGACAAAGATGTGGAGGTGTTTGTAGAGCTACAGCTGGGATAAAGAGACTTTCACAGCAATAATACAGGGATGAACATGGGCTGGGTGAGTAGCTACAACCTCAGAGTGGGTGCTGGGGAGGGAGGTCTGTCTCTGCCTTTCCATGGAAATTACAGGCAGTCGAAGTTACGGAGGGACTGTTACCCTAGATCTCTGGTCTGTGGATGGTTTATATAGCAGCAACCTTATTGGTGTCCTTTTTTTTTTTTCTTTCTTTCTGAGATGGAAGCATCAAGAGGTGATGCTTATTGTATCTTGTAGAACAGGAGGTGGGTATGTACAGTTGGATGTGCTCCTGTTAAAGGAAAAAAGAAAATCTGAAAGTCAAAAGCAAAAAACTATTCATGATACAGGAAGTTACTGATAATCAGTGTAAAGGCTGCAGCACAAAAGTGATACAGTGGTCTGATTTCGTCCTTGATAACAATGACTCAGCTCTTTGAATTCTGTATTAAATGAACCAATAACTTAAGGAATTAATAGAAACACTGTATATCCAAAACTTAAGATACCATAAGCCAAGATTCCAAAGATAAAGCTAGCCATAAATTTCAGTGGAAACAGACTGTATCATATTAAATATGAGCAAGTTGTTATTAACTTTTAAATTAAAAGTTTTTTTTTTCCTTCCAGAGCAGTCAAATCAAAGGACTGCAAAACTTCTCAGAGCAGAAAAATGACTCATGTTTTCTCTCCACATCGTCATAGCCAAACTTGGAGGTAGTTTGTCTTTAATTTAACTACCTCTTGCTACTGTTGAGCAGAAATGCTTGTTTGTGTTTGACCTGAAGCTGGTGGGCAGCTCTGGTTTATTAGCTAGAAATTCTGATTTGGGGCTTAGCTACCTTAATGTTTACTTAAGTAAACCTCAGCTGTAGAATGAGTTTTTCTACCTAGTCCCATAGCCTCCATCTCCCAGGGACTGTCCATTAATGTAACCTCCATCCCTGGCATGCCTCTGCCTTTCTCGGTCTTCAGAAACCTAAAATTATCTCATCTTGCTGTTTTATCCTAATTTCTCATAACCCCAAATTCTTCTTTATTTTTAGCTGCCAATGTTCCTCAGGGAAGGAAGAGAAAGCTTTCTTGTTAACATACATGGCCACTATTGCTTTCTCACAAGAAGAATGGAAGTTGGTAAATCTGTGACTTTGGACTATACTCAGACAACGTACTATGTTTTTTCACTGCAACATGTACAGTATGCCTCCTTTCAACAGGGGCAGACTCTAGCTTTGTAGGTTGTGAGTAGAAAGGGATAGCTGCCACATCAAAGTGAAGCGCTTGTGATCAGTGGTCTGAATCTCTTACAGGCATTTCGAACTTAAACGTTATCTAACTTAGAGTTACCTAAGTCTATGTGAGGTGTCCATAAGGTAGTTTGATAAGGTTCTTTGATATCACTTTTTA